AGCCACACCCCTGCATTTTAGAGCAGGAAGTGAGACTGCATCTCTGTCCCTCATGGCCACATGGTGGGCAGTTAGATCTCACTGTTTTGAAGTAAATGTTTCCCAAAGTCTGAAAATCAGTGTAACATTAATAATTGTCATATTTTCTGCAGTTAAGTAAACTTTTTGTTTTTCAATAAAACATTATGATTTTATGTGTGTACAACTTATGTGTGTTTAAACTGTTTACTAGTTATACACTGGCTAGCATTATGTTATGCTCAAAATTAGCTACAATTGTCACTACCAAAACAGTCATTACTGAAAAAAAGTTTTAGTAGTGTTATTGTTGTTTTGACATTTGGCATGACAAAATTTAATGTTCAACCATTTACTTTATTTATCAATCATTTATTTTCATTTACTTTATTAAGTTTAATAAGTTGCTTTAAATTATCCTATAAGTAGCGTGTAGGAACATTTAAAGCAAAACAATTTTGGTCTAAAATCCAAATCTGTTAGAAGTCCAAAATGTGTGCTCTAACTTTGAACCAGGTAAGCAGGATGCACTATTTCAGATTTTGAAAACAGCCAGTCTTTTTCCCAGTCTCCTACTGATGTTCTGCAAAACAGTCTTGTGTGTGTGTGTATGTGTGTGTGCATGTAAAAGCATGTGCTGGGTCACTGACAGGGTGTGGAGCTGTCTAGCCACCAGGGAGCTGTGGTTGGCGATAAGTCTTAAAGATTACAGCTCCTGCACAAATTAAGCCCAATTCAACGCAATGAAGGTTAATTAAACTCCATTAGTGCAGTTTAGTGAGCTGAGGTCCAGCAAGTGAGCCAACTGTGCGCCACTCACAGAAGAGACACTTCTGACACTCTTTCTTTTTCCTCCTGTCTTCATTCACACCTCATTTTCTACGGCAGATTGTCAAATATATAGGCTCCATAGTTTGAGCACAAATCATTGGAGAGAAATGTAGACTGACATAGTGATGTGGTACTCAGGTCTGATCTCAGTCTGTAGACCATAAATTAACAATTTCAGTCTTGATTTGGTCTCGGGATAAGGTGGACTCGTAAATTGAGCCCTTGCAACAAAAAACATATGTGACATTTTTTGTAAACATTATATAGTCATTGTTTGATGTCCTGTATTTGAAATAAAGAGGTTACTAAAACTTAAATAAAGCATAGTTTGTTGTACAAAACAAAATAGAAACCAAAATAACCGCTAATCCAAAAAAAGAGTGGAATGGTTGATATCTGTTTTTTCATTTGAGGGGCTCAGTTGTTCTCAAGACCAGCTGAGTGCACTGCCTCCATCTGAGATAATCATAAACTATGATTATTGAATATCAACAAAACTTTCAAATAGAATAAAGCAGTCCTTTCTCAGCATGTTAAAAAAATCAGTTTGATACCATTTGAGGTTTGAAATGAACCTTTCCATAATGGATTCTCTAAGGACAAATCAGAATGTTATTATTACTATGTTCTCATTTACTAACACAAAATTTATTTTACAAAATCTATGATAAAATATAATATTATTTCTTAATATCATATTTCTTATATTCATTAATTCTTAATGGATGTACAATGAATTACGAATGTATTTCAGTTTTTTCTCCTTTCTTTTTTAATTTTTCTGTTCTGAAAAAATCTTAGTCTGGTCTTAGTCTTGTCTCGGTCTTTTCACTCTTGGTCTTGGTCTTTAATTGGACTCGAATACTACAAAGTTTTAGTCTTGACTACTTTGATGTTAAAAAATGTTTTTTAGATATTTACAATAGCACTGTCAGAGCTGCTTTCTGTTTAAATGTTGCTCTTTTGCTCTGCTCTTTTTGAAGAAGCAGATCAACCTTTAAAAATGATTGTAAATGGATTTAAAGAACCAGAAGATCCAAATATGGCCAAATGGTCAAAAGCTGAAAGATCCACAATATGGCTAAATGGATAAAACCTGTAATAAGCATGTGTGTGTAAATAGTGGGTAATAAGAGATATTAGAGTGATGCATGATGGTTTATAGACCTTAAATCAGAGTTCTTGTAAGAAAGTCTGTTCACTGGGTGACTGGGCAGTTATTTCAAATCATACAAGAGCAGCCTTGTGTCTCTTTGAATGGGTAGAACACTATACACCCTAAATGCAAAGCCACATCAACGTTTTAAATTTGAAATCACTGGTAAAATCTACTAAACTTCTACCAACCATGTAATCTGTGATACAGTTGCCATGATGATCATTAGAAGCAATCCCATTCATTTTTCAACTTGTGGACTACCTCCATCTGCTTTATAATATAATTTCTGTGCGCTCTGCACTTTTTTGAATAGCTTTAAACTAAAAGCAAAAGTTTAGCGAAACATCTAATTCTTCTTACCCAAAATGCAGCAAAGATGTGTTTAATGCCCAGAATGTTCAAAGTACGTCTTTAGTTTTGCACACGAACCATGAGGCTAATGTGTCAAGGAATAGAAAATTGTAACTACGGAATTGCGTTGTGCACACTTTCAAACCACATTGAGCTGTTAAAGCTGCACAGAAGACTTGTAAGATCTGGGGATTTGGAGACCTCTCTGGTTGCAAATGTGTACCTGCACATAACGCGGAAAAACATTCTGTGTTTCGGACTCTTCATACCGATGAATCTGATCAGAATCTGATCATTGCGAGCGTGCGGAATGAGCATTCAAAGAGAACCTGGTCAAAACTTGGTGAACATGTCTTTTGAGAATGTAAGTGAATGATCTCATGGCAGTGCATGCACACTGTACATTACCATGTTTCTCCTGACTCAGTAATGCTACTTCTTTAAATTTTAACAAAAAATCTTATATAGTGCAGCTTTAAGTAATCTTAAATAGGCTTGCAGTGACATTGTGGTGGCTGCTACAATTGGTTTTAGCTATGCTTTGTACTTTTGTCCATTTTTTAACCCTTGGGTGGTGTTGGGGTCTGTGAGACCCATTTTCTGTGTTTACCAAAAGAAAAAATTATGCAATTTCCATCTTAGATTCCTTGGCCTTTGCTCATTTTCTGTGAAGAACATATAAAATAACACATTTTCAATGACTTTACACTGTTCACCCCCTACACATTTATATTACACATGTGGTGTTGGGGTAAACCTGTGGGGAATAAAAGTGTGGGGGTGCTGTGTCCCTTCACTCTGTTTTCCTCCTACATGGCCTGCTGTTAGTGTGTGTGTATGTGTTTGTATATGTGTGTGTGTGTGTGTGTGTGAGTGTGTGTATGTGTGTGTATGTGTGGGTGGACAACACGGACAGGCTGCTGACTGGCTACAGCTGCTAAAGGAGAACCCTATGCTTGCCACTTGTGATATTTTAAACATCTGGTATTTTTACATAAATTGTTATGGTTCTGATTAAAAGAACAATAATGCGGTGGGTCCACCAGACCACTGAGTAACAACAATATGAACACCACACAAAGGATAAACCACATAAGCGAGCCTATTCAAGATTAGTTAACAACTCAGTGAGGCTTAAGGCAAGTATGAGGCAAGATGATTCAAGCACACGGTTTACATGAGGCTAATTGCTGGTGAATAAGCTTTCTTATTTGTTAGCTACATTAGCTGGTAGCACTAGTGTAAAATTGAGGAAGTCAAACAAGTGCTGACTGACTGACTGCATTTGGTATAAGAAGTAAGCAAGTTAGATTTTTCACCCAGCTATTAGATCGCTTTAACCAATTCATCAGCTAATTTCAGGCTCTTCATGAGCTTTGGTGAGTAACATGAGTGTGGTCCAGCTTCTGAAATGTGCAGTGCATAGGAGTTCCCATGACCGGGGCCGGGAAACACTGACCCAGTATGTCATTTTCTAGTCTGACGGTCGAAACGTAGAAATGTACAGAAATTATATGTGATTTCTACATGCCAGAATAAATCTGGATTCGCTCAGACGTGTGGGCCCTTTTCAAAGATGTCCCCACTTAACATTTTAAAACTGATTTTAATCCAAACAGACATCCTACACTACACCTTCTGTCTATGTTGGAACAGTTGATGTTATTCTGTCCAATCGCCACGCTGTCCGCTGAGCTCTCGACCAGGGCAGCCAGTCAAACGCCCCCTTTTTACTTTCGCTGTTATTTCGCAGATCCGTCACAGTCTGCACCATCAAAGTGACAATTACGTTTTGTAGAATATCTCTGTCATCGGCAGAAATTACCAGTGTTTTTTCTTCCTGTATCAAGCAATCAATCTCCTCTCAGTGTTCTGTGTCGGAGTGTTCATGGACTGAGTCGGAGTTAGCTGGCCATGAATGTTTCTGCCAAGATAAAGAGGGTATTTGGCTTTTCTCTATTATTTTGATTGAAATAATTATGTCTTAAAAAAACAAGACCCCCAAATAAAACACGTTTCCCCACGTTTTGTTCCCAATCAGGTCAAAATCGGAGAAAAAATCAAAACGCGTGGCCCGACGGCTCGGACGTGGAGCTTTCCAAGAAAAACTGCTGAGTGTTTTTGCAAAGTGAGGTAAGGCCACAAAACTCAAAATTACATTTTCTTTTTTTCTTTCTTTTTTTCCCTCAGACCGGCATGTGACCTCTGTGGAAACTTGGTGACTCAAACATTTTCTCAGCAAATAGCTTCTGATGAATTTAAATTTAAGTGCACTTTTTGTGTGTGTTTGAGCCAACTTAACAGTGCTAACGGCATGACACACACACACTCACACATATAAAGCACACAGGGCCTCTTTTCTGAAATGTAAACAGTGGGTGAGGAGCAAGCGGGAAGCTGGGCTCTCTTCTGCTGATTGGTGGTTTAGATTACAGGGGGCTTGGACAGCACAAAAGTTATTTGTGTTCGTTACACAGATGCATATCGCATGCTTGTATACACACATGCTCTCTCTCTGTCTCACACACACACACACACACGTACACACACACACACACACACACACACACATGCACACGTACATACTGGAGGAATGTATTCCTGATGTTACTGACTGATGACATTATTTATTTGTGTTTACCACACAATACTTTGTGCTGGCCTGCTGTCTGACAGGACTGCCCTCTCACTCTTCCACTCTCTTCTCTCCCTTTGTCTTTTTCTCTCATTTGCGGTATTCTCTTTCAAAGCTGTCAGTCATCATGGCTGCCAAGAAGATTAGTCTGAGCCCAAGGAAACTGATCACAGACACTGTGAGAGAGAGACTGAGGAAGGGAGAGAGAGAAAGAGAGAGAGAGATGAGTGGTTCCAGGAAGTGGACATCTAAAAACATTTTAGTGCTTTGGACCCTCAGTAGAAATCCTAAACCAAATATGTGGGCAGACAGCACACACACTTAGGCCACACAGTCTTACTAAACGCAGTCAGGCTGCTTGAGCATCGATGAGTGTTCCACACTATATTGTGAACATACACCTCTTGCCAAAAGTTTGGGGACGCCTTATCCTCATTGCCGCTGTCAATTTTCCATTAAATAAGAAAAATATCATGGGGTTTTGCTAACACAAACAGCTGTTAACTAATACTTTGAGTATATGTTGTAACTACAGCTTCGTGTTCATTAGAGCGTCTACTTTGGTATGAAGAGCAGATTTTGTCTAGTTTATGTCTCTTATCCTGTTAGTTCTTGTCCTTGGTCATTTTAAGAACAATCCACTGTGTCACATAATCCTCTCAAATCCTCAAGAATAAAATCATGTCTCACCCTCGATTATTTCCCACCCAAGTATCCTGTTTCACTCAGAAATGCATCACGTTAAGGAAGAAAAATGAAATGAAATGAACCTTTTAGCCAACTGTGTCTGAACACATTGGAATTAGACCTCCGCATTTAACCCATCCATGCAGTGAAACACCACATATACACTAGTGAACACACACACACTAGGGGGCAGTGAGCACACTTGCCTGGAGTGGTGGGCAGCCCTGTCCACAGCGCCCGGGGAGCAGTTGGAGGTTAGGTGCCGTGCTCAAGGGCACTTCAGTCACGTACTGTCAGCCAGGGGGATCGAACTGGCGACCTGAACCCCGAACCGGTCACAAGGGTGGTTCCCTAACCTCCAGCCCACGACTGCCCCCTATCAGAAAAATGCATTCTGATTTCCGATACACATTAATTTTAAGCACAATTCATCAAAGAATATCATTTAAAGAAAAAATATATTTTCCTGTAATCTTCCACAAAAAGGTAGTGACTTTTTCCCACCTCTAAAACCTCACCCAGTCAGTCACATATATGCAACTAGAAATATACAAAAATATGCAATAAGATCTATCCTGAGATAACAAAGGCAGTGCAATAATTATTGTACAGGAAGGTGCAGGTAACAGCATATAATGACAACACTGTCTGTCTACATGACAGTACTGGGTAATATGTTACCTTACAACACCCTGTATGCACCTCTCCATCTGAATGGCTTTTAAAACATGCATTTTAGGCCAAAAGCTAATCTCAAAACTATTGTAAAACAATGTCTCAGGCATCAGGCAGCATATTTATAACCGTTTCATGTAGCAACTTTCTGTGAGGGAGTTATTAGAGTGATTAAACTCTTCAGATGTCTGGTTCCCTTCACCACCACTGTGAAAAATTCTGAATCAGCAAGTTTCTCTAGAATGGAGCATTCCAGTCTGAATGATGCTGTTTACATCTTAACAACAAAATATGCAAAAGCTGTTAAAAAATTTGTGAATTCCCACCAACAGCTTTAACAGCTTCCTACAAATTCCTTGAAACTTATGAAGCTTTACAGTATTAACATCATCATAGCATTATTATGCATGTATCTACATCAAAATTGGTTTTATATTAATTAAAACAGTTGAATTTTTAAATGGTAATTCCAAACCTGAATCTGTGAATGGTAGTGCATTTACACGTGTGATAATTTTTTCTTCATAATGAACTTGGTAAATTTTTAATATGCTAAGTTGTTGCAACCTGGCATTGAAGACACACGTCATGTGTATTAAAAACCTTTAAAAACGGTTAAAAGGCTAAGTTTCCCTAAGTGTTGAAGGCAGTATAGTACTGAAATTTCAAACTTGAGCATTTTGGTGACATATACCGCAGACACGAGTGTAGTGAGGGAAATCAAGCCAAACTGAGAAAGAAAAGAGAAACAGAGGGAGAGAAAGGCACTGAGTGAAAGCAGTAAAAGGGTTGAGAAAAGCAGAAAGTCTATATTAAAATGAGACTGAGAACGTAGATGATTAAACAGGAGGTGATTAAAGGAGAGTATTTGTCAGTCAGCAGTGCTCTCGGCTGTGAAGGACTGAAAGACTGCTTTCAATGAACTCCACACAGAAAGAATGTCAAAAGGAGAGGGTGAGAGAGAGAGTGGACTGAGATGTTGAGTTCTGTAGGTAACGTGGGTTTGTTTTTTTTGTTTTTTTTTTTTACATTTGCAGGACAAAAATGTCCGCTGTGTTGGAAATCTAGAGTACAGTGCTAACCGTGTGAGGAGCAACAAATGACTTAGTGAAGTGCTTTTTAAAAGGTTACATGTTCCAATTGAAAGAGTTACAGCATTTCTTTTTGACGTTAAAGTCAGAGTCAGGTTTAAGGCTTAGGACATTCTTAAGGCTTAGAAAACTGAGAAAGAAAAGAGAAACAGAGAGAGAAAGGCACTGAGTGAAAGCAGTAAAAGGGTAGAGAAAAGCAGAAAGTATATTAAAATGAGACTGAGAACGTAGATGATTGAACAGGAGGTGATTAAAGGAGAGTATTTGTCAGTCAGCAGTGCTCTCAGAAGGGGAGGTTGGCCTCCTCTTATTGGCTGTCACTCGGACATCAATCAAAATGACAGCCAACCACCGGCTGCTGTGTCACCGGGTGGAAATCTGTCTGTCAAACACGCAGCAGCTGCCATGACATCAGCGCTGGAGCTGAACACACCACCCATCTGCCCAGACACACACACACACACACACACACACACACAGACATCAGTTAGACACACACACACACACACAAACACACAAGACACACACACACCAACATCAAACACACATACAAACATCAGTCAGACACACACACACACACAGATATCAGTCACACACACACACACATAAACATTAGACACAAACATGAATCAGACACACACATAGACAGACATCAGTCAGACACACATACAAACATCAGTCAGACACACATACAAACATCAGTCAGACACACAGAAACAGAAACATACAGACATCAGTCAGACACACACAAATACACAGACATCAGTCAGACACACGCGTCAGTCAGACATACACAAAGTCAGACACACAGACGCCAATCAGACACTGACGTCAGTCAGACACAGATATCAGTCAGACACACAGACGTCAGTCGCACACACACGTCAGTCAGACATACACAAAGTCTGAGATTTCACAGAAGGGCATTCCGGCCTAAAACTCATTTAATATGTTATTTGTTGTGTTATACAGTATTCTGTAGTACTGCATTATATTCCTTGACAGAACATAAGATTTTATATTATTTTCATGTTTTCATTCATCAATGTTCTCTCACTACAGTACCAGCATACATTACACAAATAAATCATACAACCACTGGGAGTCCCTGCAGTGGTCAGCTAATCTTGACTGCAAAACCGCTGACCTACAATCTAATAAATACAACCAAGCTAGCGTAGGTATGAACAGAATCGTAAACAGAATCGTATGAACAGTGATTATTTCTTTATTCGGCACAAAACGAATTCCAGAGATTCCAGAGTTTTTACCATTTTAGCCAGAGAAAGAAGCTAAACTGAGGTAAAGTAGCCAGTTCTCTACTTTGCTAACGTTAGCTTTTAGCTAACCTCCTGAGCTGCTGAGCTGACAAGTCATTTCAATCATTTCTTTCCGTTCTCTCCATTGTAATGATCAATTGAAGACACCATTATATGACCACAATGAAATATACAGTTTCCTAGCAGTAATTTCAGTTATCTACCATCCTTCTGTATTGACCAGCTAAAAAAAATTTCAGTCCATCTCCAAAAATTCCTGCATTGTTTGGAGGGACTGAGCACTTATGGGATTAGTCCGAGTGGCATTTTTGATCCAGAATTAGGCGTTCAACATCTGATGTCATAACGTTCTTGTAGCTGAATTCCATCAAATCCTCATAGCAATGTTCCAACACCCGAGTAAAACAAACTCCCATTTTGATTTCAGAAGAAACTGTCAAACCCCCCAGCAGCTGAAGAACCCTAAAAGAAATGATTTTATCTTCGTATGCTTGTAAGTGTAGCAAACAGACCTTCAATTTTCATTTATTTACTCTATTTTCATCTATTTCACGTCTCAGCACACACACATATATGAACGCTCACAGAAAAAAAAAAACAGTGGGTGTGAAAAACACAGAATCGTATGAGCGAGAAATGAAAGGCACTGATCCATATCAGTATGACAACAGAGATGACAGATGGCTGATCATCTGACAGCAGTCTGACCTCACTCTATAAACTGTACTCAACTGTGTATATGTGTGATGGCTGTGTGCACAGCATGTGCGTATGTGTAGTGTGTGTATCAGGGGGCTGTTGCTTGTGAAGAGCGAGCGCTAAGCTCATGAGCGTTTGAAACGCGACAAAGGAGAGAGCAAGAGGAGGAGAGTGAGAAAGAAAGAGAGCGTGCTGAGGGAGCCTATAGGTGAAAATGAATCATGGCTTTAGCTCAAAGCAAGTTTGGCTGCCTGTTGATCCTCGCCAACGCGTGTGTGTGTGTAGGCCGAAGAGCAGCAGGAGTGGGAACGGGAGGCCCTCGTCTCCAGCTGCTGTCCGCACTCCTCTTTTCTCCCTTTCTTCTCTTTCTTTTGTGCTCTTGCCCTTCTTTTCAGCCTTCTCCCACTGTTTTCACAAGCTGCTCGGCTGTGAAAGACTGAAAGACTGCTCTCAATGATCTCCACACAGAAAGAATGTCAAAAGGAGAGGGAGAGAGAGAGAGTGGAGTGAGATGTTGAGTTCTGTAGGTAACGTGTGTTTGTTTTTTTTGTTTTCTACATTCACAGGACAAAAATGTCCACTGTGTTGTGTGTGTGTGAGGAACAACAACATGACTTAGTGAAGTGCTTTTTAAAAGGTTACAAGTTCCAATTGAAAGAGTTACAGAATTTCTTTTTCAGGTTAAAGTCAGAGTCAGGTTTAAGGCTTAGGACATTCTTAAGGCTTAGAAAATTCTCAATATAGTGGTCAAACAG